TCATTCCCTTTTGATTGCCTATACTATTCCGTGTGCTGTGCTTGACTCCAGAGACATAGCAATGACAAAGAAGGCAAGGTCCCTGTCCTCACAGAGCTTATGCACTAGCAGGGGAGATGGACAAGCAAACAGGCAGCCACAGCACAGTCCATTAAGCATTACAGCAAGGGAAGGCCTACGTGTGCTGGGAGCACTTGGGAGGTGCGCCTGGTGGTACCTGCCCTCCCCCAGCACTGCCAAAATCTCACCCAGAGCCGTGGGTGGGTGCTCACCCCAAGCCAAGGTTTCTCCCTTCCATGTGCTCATCTCAACTTCGACTTTCTTTCCCCCAAAGAGATATAAGCAGATTTTTCTGGATTGGCTGCTGCACTTGGTCTTACAGGAGCTGGGAACCAGCCCCCTATAGGAGGCCTCTGTGAGGTTTGAGGAAGGGCGCTGAGGGCCCTAGTTTGGGGCGGGTGGGGTGCGGGGTGCTGCCAAAAATGGGTGTCTCACGAGGAACTCTGGCTTTGACACTTCTTTCTCTCTAGAAGCCTGCCCTCACCAAGGGCTGTCCAGCCAACAGTTTCTCTTCAGGCCAGTGGGAAGGCAGAGTCCTCTCAGGAGGAAATCACTGTCTAGAAAAAGCACATGTTTCCAGACTAACGGATGAGCCCCACTCCTCTTAGTTCACACATTGCTCAGCTTCTCAGGGTACCCTGCAGGTGCCACAGCTGGTGCCCAGCCTTACTGTGATCCCAGCTCTCTGCCACCCCTCTCCTGCTCCGTAAAGAAGCAAGGTCCTTCTGCTTACCTCCTCCCTCCTGGCACCACCTTGCTGCCCTGGCCTCCTGGCTCCCCCCTCCCTTCCTCTCTGGCTGTAGGAGGGATGTGCCCTTGGCAGCCAGAAGCTTGGTTGCAACCCCTACTAGGCCCCTGCTGAGCTTCACCTTCCTTCCTAACCCGTGAAACAGACAGGAAACAGACAGGACACTATGCACCAAAGGCCTCAGGCCTCTGAAGCCCTGTCCAGATGTCCCCTTGTCTCAGTTCTCCCAGCCCCTGGCATCAGCCTCAAGATATTCCTTCCCACCTTCTGCGCCTGCATCTAATCAGCTTGCTTTCTGAGTTTCTCCAAACAACTTCCCCTCTTTCTTTCTTCCTCCCCGTCTTCAGTTCACGCCACCAGGCCCCGGGCCAGGCGCTCACATTTCCCGGCCTCACCCCATCCTTTTTCTCAATGTCAGCATTTTCAGAATACTCACTTATTGCCACACAGCGGCCTTTTAGGCTGAAGCCTAGGTCCCATGTGGAAGAACATGCAAACCCTGGGGAAGACCATCCGTGGCAACAACAAAAAAAATTACAACTTCAATTTACAGTTCTTTAATCTTAAAAAAAAAAATTAAGCTTTACTAATTTATGTCCTCACTTGATCTCTATGTCAGACTGTTGCAAGTGTCCTCAGGGAAGTGTGGGGCTTCCAGGGAAACACGGCACCTTCTCATGTTTATCTTTGGTATCACAACATGTAATGCACGACAATGCTCTGTTTGTGGGGTTTTTCACTTAGGTTGTCTAGTTTTAAATAAAGCAGCCCTCACCAAGTGGAGAAATGACTCTAAAAAATTCTTGCAGAGAAACAGGATTTAAAATAATATGAGGGGCTTCTCTGGTGGCTCAGTGGTTAAGAATCCGCCTGCCAATGCAGGGGACATAAGTTCCAGCCCTGGTCCAGGAAGATCCCACGTGCCGCGGAGCAACTAAGCCCGTGCGCCACAACTACTGAGCCTGCGCTCTAGAGCCAGCAAGCCACAACTACTGAGGCTGCGCACCTGGAATCTGTGCTCTGCAAGAGAAGCCGCCGCAGTGAGAAGCCCGCACACCGCAACGAAGAGTCACCCCCGCTCACCACAACTAAAGAAGACCCGCACGCAGCAACAAAGACCCAACGCAGCCAAAAATTAATTAATTATTTTTAAATCCTCTTTTAAAAAATAAATAAATAAAATAAAATAATATGAATAATCCTAAGCAATCCTTTAAAAATGCAATGCTGGGCTTCCCTGGTGGTGCAGTGGTTGAGAGCCCGCCTGCCGATGCAGGGGACGCGGGTTCGTGCCCCGGTCCGGGAAGATCCCACATGCCGTGGAGCGGCTGGGCCCGTGAGCCACGGCCGCTGAGCCTGCGCGCCGCAACGGGAGAGGCCACGGCAGTGAGAGGCCCGCATACCGCAA